CGTACAGGCACCGGGAGGCAGCGCGAGCGGCCACAAGGGCCATGAGGATGCAGGACAGGATCAACGAGGAGCCTTCTCAGGGTGTGCAGCCTGGTGACCCTTCGCTACTTCGCGGGGAGGACGAGGATGACGATGACTCGGATGAGGGCTCAGATATATCGGGAGAGTACGTGGCGAGCATCGACGAGGCCTCGATTCTCGATGTTGTGGAAAACAACCCCATCACCGCCTCGCCTACGCGGCAAGTGGTGGGCACGCCCCCGAGGAACTTTATGAGGCAGTCTACGATCCGCAACTCGGCGCACCCGCCTCTGTCCGTCTTCAACGCGCTGCCGCCTCCACGCCCGATGAGTACCATCCGGCCCCTCAGCGTCGTCCAGCCCCAGAGCCTGCTGTCCGCGGCGCTCAAGGCCAAGCGGTTCAAGTCGAGCGTGCCGTTTCAAAAGTTTGCTCACCTCAACGGGGAGGGGACGCAGGGCGCCATCTCCGTCCGCATCTACGCCGCCTTCTCCAAGACGCCCAGCAAGTATCTGGAAGTGCTCATCCGACCCCGCGTGCAGACCGGTCAGGGGGTGGAGAGGGCCGTCACCATTGCCGACCTGATCGGGCTGTCGCTGTACAAGTACAACGAGGAGAAGAGAGAACCGCCCATTCCTCCGAAGAAGCGCAACATCAATTGGTTTACGCTGGTGATGGTGGAAGAGGGCGGCGAGGTGGACGACGACTTCCCGCCGTTTGACAGGACAAAGCCCCTGACGTCGGCCACTACGGTCAACAATGCTCACCTGAGGGGCGGCGGACGGACGAGGTCCAACTCGAAGGTGTACGACGAGTTTGCCATTGTGGAAGCTACGGAGGCAGAATACGAGGCCAACCAGAAGCAAACGCCGCAGGAAGACGAGGAGGAAGAGGAAGCGCAGCCAGCCCAAGACACGATTACTGAAGAGGGCACCGCTGAGAGGAGCGAGAACGCGAGTGCCGGTGCCGGTGCCAATGCCAGCGCCATGCTCTCTCCGCCGTCCTCAGTACATCCCCGTCCGAACCCGATCCTGACGACTGCGTACCGGCCCAACGTGCTGTTGGCGGACGCTCCGCAGACGCGCACCAACGTGTCCAACGCAATGCGGGGCCAGCAGAAGCTGCTGCGCATCTACATCATGTCATCGGATGTGGCGGCAGACCAGATGGTGACGCTTGACATCACCACCGACATGTACTTTGCCGAGGTGCTGGATCAGGTGTGCCGCAAGAGACACCTCGACAAGGCGAACCATGTCTTGAAGCTGCCGGGGTCGGGGGCCCTCGTCATGCTGGACCGGCCGGTGTCGTCGATTGGCAACGTGACGGACCTGGAGCTGTACCGCCGCCGATTCGCGACGGACGGCCCGCTGGCCATCACGGGCTCGCCGGGCACGTCGTCGCCCAAGACGGTGCCGGTGCTGGACGGGCCGCCGCCGCGAAAGGGGCACAAGAAGGGGGGCTACACGCCCGGGTCGCACCCGCTGGCGCGCGAGGTGATGCAGCCGGACGAGCTGCCCAGTGCCAACTACAAGCGGTACACGGTCTGGCGCAAGCAGCCGATGCGCATCGTGGGCATGAGCGAGCGGGTGTTGGTGATTGACGGCGAGTACATTCACATTGTGCCGTCGTCGGGGGGCAAGGCGGTGCAAGAGGGGGGAAAGACGACGACGGTGCACTTTAGCAACGTAATCGGGTGTAAGGTGCCTCGAAAGCATCCCACCAACGTCAAGGTGAGTGACACAGGAAGAGTGCTTTTTTTTTTTTTTTTTTTTTTTTTTTTTTTTTTTTTTTTTT